GGATGGCGGTCATGAGGAGCTGTGACGCGACGTCGGAGGCAGTTGGTTTCTGAGAAGCTAATCTTCCTGGGCTAGAGCACTTATCGCTCGATTGACTACTTTTTTGGGCTTTTAAACAGTTCGGGCATACCCAATTCTTCCTTGATGCCCTTAATTTTTCAATTTCACCTTCGTCTGTGATAAGGCATTTGCCATGAAAAATAGCTTGACATGTCAAAATAGTGCATATTTTCAGAGTTTTCTTGTCCTCTCTGGCAACTGTCTGTCCACATATTGGGCATGAAACCATCTTGTCTGATAAAAATAGTGAAAAATAAAAAAATATGTGAACAAAAAAAATACGCTGAATATTTTGACGAAAGTTGACGTAACCCCAACCTGGATACTAGTGTTACTGACTTATAGTTAGAGGCTAGGTCTAGGCCTTATCTAACGCATGCGCTCCCCACTCCCCGTCTCAACTAAAATGTCTAATGAGCTACCTGTAAGCTGACTGAAATCCTGGCTAACTTTCTTCGCTCTTTTCGGCACAAGTTTCAGTTGAAATAGAGATTCAATATCACCCATGGATTCAGCACATTTAATAGACGGGCCTGTTAAAAGTATACAACGAATCTCCGTGTACAAACTACGAAATTTACGAATTAAACTCCGACTATATAATTGCTACACGCTAACCGTTCAGAGGCTTGGACCACACTGATTAGCGATGATACAGTGTATTCTATTTTCTATACATTTTTTAATTTATTACTTTCCTACCTATTCTAGGTAAGAAAAGTATTGGGATCAGGTCAAATTTCTGATATGCGGTTTTCGACGGATTTATACATTTCAGAGCTCCCTGAGTCTGAAAAAACACCGTTTAGTCTGATTTTTTTTTTTAAAGTATTAAAAATTCCCTACAAAACTATATAAAAATCGTTCATTTTGGACAACTATTAACGAAGTTACAGCTATTCAATTTCAAATATAAGATTACGGGTTCATAACCTGATGTGAAATAGCGGTGATGAGAGAAAAGAGATGACTAAGTGAAAGTAAGAAAATCTGTTGCCCGCATCACGCAAGCTTCACTGTTTCCTCTACTTTTAACAGAAATTATTGTTTGACAAAATTAAGCTATGGCAAAAAGTTTTTGATCAGCAATATTAGAGAGTGTTGAAATTTTTACACTGATCTACCTTAAGCCAGTTCACATTGCTTTAGTTTATCAAATAAATTGTACTCAAATCTTTTCTTTAATCAATTTTCAGGAAAATAAATCTAAATTGTTCTGTCCATTCCGGGTATCAAAAGCAAGAAGATTATTCCCTAGGAACTCTTGAAATCTGTTTCGCTTCAACGTATAAATACTAAATACCCGAAAGACTCGTGGATTCGAATATATAGGGACGGATCGACCTCAAATGCAACTACGAACAGCGGGGCCGGTATCCATTTTTAATTTCCTGTGGGGAATGTTATTGAGAAGGCTGTTCCAACAGGCATCACTTCTTCAAATTATCGGGCAGAGCAAGAAGCTATCAGTGAGGCATTGAAACTAATAAGAATACTACAGAGACCTAAAAACTCAAAAATTGTATTCTTTACTGATGCAGCGTCAGTATTACAATCACTCAGGTCAAAGTGGAGCAAAAGCTTGATAAAATTTGCCAAAGATCTTGAAGACTTGATGTCCCTTCGCAAGAAAGTTATTCTGCAATGGATCTCTGGATAATGTGGCACCTATGAAAACAAAAGGGCAGACTAGTTGGCAAAGGAAGGGTCCTTGAGTCCGCAATTTGATTGTAAGATCAGTTTAGACAAGGTAAAAACAATCAATAAAGCGATTATTATTAACCAACGTTGGCTCAGAAATCATCCACTTCACGACCCCAGAGGTGTGATCTATGGACTAACTCAACAAGATCAGGTTTTGATTTTTCACTTACGAACTAGCTTAACAGGCTCGAAGCTCACCTATTCAGTAAGTTCAAAATTGGCTCTAGTCCCCTCTGCGAGTGCGGTGAGGGTGTACAGAATGTGGAACACATCATACAAACGTGCATGGCCTACTCCCAGCAAAGGAAGGTGAACTGGTCCTCTCCGACTGAATTGGAAAGGAAACTATATGGAAGCCTGAAGGACCTGAGGAGAACTACCGATTTAATTTTAGTTCCTGACCTAGTCATATAAGGAAGAAAGCAGAAGAAGAAGAAAGAGAGTTTGATTCAATTTTTTTTTTTTTTTTTGATGGATATATGTAAAGATATAAAAACTTTTCTGAAATAGGTAGGAAAGTTGTGTGAGTGGATACACCAGATTTTTTTTGATGAGTTGGGGCTTAGGAAAATGTTTTGCTGCTTCTCCTTTGTCGAGCTACTGTCCAGAACATCTAGTGTTATTATAAAGTATCTACTTTTGATCACAATCAACAATTCTGGACAGAAAAGGGTTTTGGCAAATAAGTGTAGCACAAACTTCATAACGCTGTTTTTTTTAGTGTTATGCTCTCGAACAGTTGTTCTGTGGTTTTCTTCTACTAAAACCCGCAGAACATCATCATCAAGAGAGGAAGTACTTCCACGAACTTCTTTGTCTTCAAGGCTGAAGTCTCCATCCCAAAATTTTTTTAACCGCGCACTCATTAATGCTGCTCTTGTCCCAGACATGATAGATGTTTTTGAACGTCTGGGCCCCATTATGGCGGAGCTTAAACTCATTAAATAAAATTATACGAAAACCACACATTGACATCTTAGTTAAGACTAAATTATTTCAAAGCAGCAAAATGCTGCAGAGATAAATAAACATTATCGTCGTTTGGAACAGGATTAAAAAATGTTGACATTCATACAAATGAATAATCCAGTAAATGTTTACAGTTTGTTATATAGAGGAGTATTTTAAAGAAAACTCAAAATTCTGCATTATTCTGACAACCCAATATATATCAAAGAGAGAAATCTGTCATTTTTGGAAAGGGAATAAAAAGTCACGAGAATGGGGAATTCTATCCAGCCTAAGGGAATGTACTTCTATATCTACTTAAATATCTTGGTAGATTGATAGGGCAATTAAAATAGATTTCGTAAAATAGAACTCCACGCAAACAGATTTCGTCCCATGTATCGGTGTATGTAAACATCCGAGTCTAGAGTTTCCTTCGGGATGTGGTAGGCCCCCGACTACTAGACCAAGTTTAAATATTATTAAATGTCAATTGCCCTATCAATCTACCAAGATATTAAAGTAGATATAGAAGTACATTCCCTTAGGCTGAACAGAATTCCCCAATTTCTGTAGTTGGTTTTTTTTAATTCATATATTTTTTTATTTTAACATTTTTAGAATTTAAAATATTAACAATTTATTTTCATAACATATCAATTAGGGTTGAAATTCACAAAAGCATACTTGAAATTAACCTACATCAAAAATGCACTAAGTGACTTCTTAGAATAAGCCGACAATATTGTCTATCCTGAGTTTTTAAATTTCATTTATACTTCAGTATAATAGGAATAGAAATTTTCTAGTAATTTTTGATAACAGTACATGCGGTATAACAAAAAAAAAAAAAAAAATTTACTTTATGAATTACTGTCAAAAAATAAAAGATTCTTTCTACTCCTAAACAATCATATACCTAAAGGAATTTTTATTTAGGATATCATAAATTGGTCAAATAAATTTAACTGCATGATGATATCTTATGTTAATATACATTAAGGAAAGTGGCAGCATTTTACTCTACTAGTAATAAAATCCACATAAAAAATTATAGAAATACAACGATGCTTTGTGACTATATTATGTCGAAATGACAAGTACTGGTTTAGGGTGTATGGATCTCCAGAAACATAACACACTGGAGCTTGAAATTTTACATGGATATATGAAAAATTCATATTTTACATAGATATTTTAAATTATCATTGCAAGCAAATTTCATGGAATCGAGATCTAAATGTTATTTTTTTGGGTTGAATTCTCATTGTTCTTGTTCATCATTGAAAGGGCTATAGTTCAAAGGGCTGAGCCAAATAAATGACTTGAAAATTTTCAAATAATTTGGACTGTTTTAGTACCTTTTGTACCACTTGTACAAATTCAATGTCATAACAAAAGGTCAGAAATAAAAACATGTTTTTTTTATAAAAGTTAGTAAGTAAAACCTTTATTTATTAAGCATCCCTAATAGGGGTTTGACTTTCTGAAGAAACAAAATACATGATTTTTTTGGTACATTTAGAATTTAACATGTTATGTTACACGATCTGAATATTGAAGTTCAACCATCTTCACATGTATTTTTAAAAAATAAAATATAAAAAACATATTAAAAGATTTAGTCTTGTGTTTATTGATTTAAAGCCCCAAAATAACCTTCAAATTAAGGATAAACTAGCTTGTTGAGTATTGGGAAAAATATGGTATATGTTCGGGTTAGGGGTCTAATTTATAACTAACCGTTATAACTGATCCCTAGGTTCGAGCTAGAATAACTTGAGTACTCTATTTTTGAAATAAACTTGGTTTTATTTCACTAAAACTTTGAAGAAAGATTTTAGAACTTTACACTTTTTGACTTTATATTACAACAATAAAAATTCACATATTTTAACAATATGTGAACACTTAAATATTTATAAAATAAATGTAACGTTTGATTCCCTAACATCCTCCCACCTGAGGACTTTTGAATTGTTTCATACAGTTCAAAAGTAGGAAAAAATAATCGAAGGAACTCTCTTCAGTCTTCATATTCTAGAGCGCCCTTCTTCTTTTTTTTTTCTCTCTTCTTTGAATGCTTCTTTTTCTTAGAAGTACCTTCTTTGATCCATTCTATTTCATACGAAGATGACTCACTGTCTTCATTTGTAGTAGTTTTCTCTATGAAAATTGGTTTGGTTGGTAGTGAGGGACCATACATTAGTTCTGGAGTATCAGCCATATCAGCACCTGATGAATTTTGAATATCATTTATATTTTGAATTTTAATTTCATCATTTTTATCATTCTTCTCTTTTCGTATCCTTTGAGGCAATTTCTTTGGGTGAATATTTTTCTTCTATCTTTATAAAGTCAAGATATATTTCATATCTCACTGGTTTAGCAGGATAACCAATGAATGGTCTAAAACTTACATCATCAGAATTTTTGTCTTCTTCAGTCTGTGTTTCTCCATTTAGATCAGTTTCGACTTCCTTTCGATGGTCAGGCAATGACTCTCCTAAAATGATCTCTCTATCAGAGAAATTAACTATATCTTCTCCTCTCACTGCCTGGACATTTCCATCAATTTTAGGACCAAATCTTAATTTTCTTTGAGTAATATTTGGATCAAAGCCAGGTTGTAGTTCATAATGTGGACAATATTTTATTCCATGATTTTGGATTTTAGCTGGTATACGGCCTTCCATGCCATTGTAATTTTCAGTCACTACGATTATTTGTTGTTGTTTTTGTCTTTCTTTCCTCCTAGCCTCCTTCAAACTAGCACAGGTTTTCAAAGAAACGTCATATCATTTTTAACATAAATTTCTTCATCTTCATCTTCAATTGCCCTAATGCTTTCATCATTAGCATCATGCTTAGCACATGTGTTTTCAACTTCATCCTTAAATCTTCTAATGTTATCTTCCTTAGCACCATCTTTACCACACAGGTCTTCACCTTCATCCTCAAATGTTCTAATGTTATCTTCATTAGCATTATCTTGAGTACATATGTTTTCATCTTCATCGTCCAATGCTCCGACTAAAAAAACCTGGTCATGGATTGATGTTGTCTTTTTATTTTCAGAAACGTTCAAAGGAGTTTCAAACGAACCAAATCTCATTTCGTCAAAACCTAAATTAACACAATGTCGATTATTATTTCTAATAGAAATTTTATCACCTTTAACGACGTTCTGGTACTTAATTTTAATAATTTCATACCTTTTCCTGATTCCATTGGCCTCTTCCAATTCTGACATTAATTCAGAATTCTTCTTCAGATACATAATTTTCTATTGATAGATCAAATATTTCGTTTTTAAGTGATTCTAAAACCACTGACTTCTTCCTCAGAAACTCTGAATAAGTGGATATTTCTTCCAAATTAAGAATATCACAATTGAGCAACTGCTCTAATTCAATTGCGTACCTTGTAAAGAAAGTGCGGCAAATCCTTCTCTGCTTCTTCTTATTTTGCATTTTGAATCCAGTCAAACTAAAAAATGGAGTATTCAACAAGTCCTGTCACGGTCGCCACTTATGTTCGGGTTAGGGGTCTAATTTATAACTAACCGTTATAACTGATCCCTAGGTTCGAGCTAGAATAACTTGAGTATTCTATTTTTGAAATAAACTTGGTTTTATTTCACTAAAACTTTGAAGAAAGATTTTAGAACTTTACACTTTTTGACTTTATATAACAACAATAAAAATTCACATATGCCTGTTTTAACAATATGTGAACAATTAAATATTTATAAAATAAATATAACTTTTGATTCCCTAATAGTATATAAAGCTAACAGAGATTATTTTGAATAAAAATAATATTTTTAAAATTATTTAAAAATAATTTTATAAAATTTTATTATTTTTTATAAAACAGTTTTCTGACTTTGCTTTCCATGGATTTCTATGTTATTATATGTTTATATTATTATATTTTCTATAATTTATAGTTTTTTATTTCAAAACAAACTCGTATTTAAGAGTTTAAGGGAACAAATCTGAATGATTTTTTCATAAAAAAAATTTACATAACCTGCTATACTAGAAGAGTCTTTGGGTTTTGTAATTAATTATACATCAGAATTCGTTTAATGCAATTAGCAATGTGTTTTCTTCTTTTACACAAAAAACAAAACAAATCAATTGATATATAATAACTTAGAAATACATCCAGAGCAAAGTCAGGAAACAGTATTATAAATAAAATAAACTTTAATAATTCTATTTTTTTTTCTTTTTCTAATTTTCTAGGACGCACAAGAATCCTCCAACATGGGTCAAATATTATTTAACTAGTTATCACCAAAAAAAGTTTTTGAAATCAGTGACCCCACATCCGCCATAACCTCCCCTTGTAAGTGATTATTGATATTAGTACCATAATAACTTTCTATATTATTTGATTCAAACATTACCTTATACTATTTATGTATTTTAACAAAAACATACATCTAATATACTACTTATATATTTAAATAAAAACTTACTTACATCATCTAATTCGGAAACTACATAGAGGGGAGCACAGTCATCTTCCACACTAACTATTGCATTATGCCCTCTTTTCAGATTAAGTAACTAATAAACAGTCATTTAAATTACTTATTGAGCATAAATCAACAAGTATATAAATAAATTAATATAAAAAACAAAACAATTGTGAGAACAGATATTGTTCATATATATATATATATATATATATATATATATATATATATATATATATATATATATATGTAATTTTCAGTCACTACGATTATTTGTTGTTGTTTTTGTCTTTCTTTCCTCCTAGCCTCCTTCAAACTAGCACAGGTTTTCAAAGAAACGTCATATCATTTTTAACATAAATTTCTTCATCTTCATCTTCAATTGCCCTAATGCTTTCATCATTAGCATCATGCTTAGCATATTCCTTAGCATCATCATTACCATACATGTCTTCATATTCATCCTCAATTGCCCTAATGCTATCTTCATTAGCATCATCTTTAGCACATGTGTTTTCAACTTCATCCTTAAATCTTCTAATGTTATCTTCCTTAACACAATGTTTACCACACAGGTCTTCACCTTCATCCTCAAATGTTCTAATGCTATCTTCATTAGCATTATCTTTAACACATATGTTTTCATCTTCATCGTCCAATGCTCTGACACCAAAAACCTGGTCATGGATTGATGTTGTCTTTTTATTTTCAGAAACCTTCAAAGGAGTTTTAAAGGAGTTTCAAACGAACCAAATCTCATTTCGTCAAAACCCAAATTAACACAATGTCGATTATTATTTCTAATAGAAATTTTATCACCTTTAACGACGTTCTGGTACTTAATTTTAATAATTTCATACCTTTTCCTGATTCCATTGGCCTCTTCCAATTATGACATTAATTCTTCTTCAAATACATAATTTTCTATTGATAGATCAAATATTTCGTTTTTAAGTGATTCTAAAATCACTGACTTCTTCCTCAGAAACTCTGAATAAGTGGATATTTCTTCCAAATTAAGAATATCACAATTGAGCAACTGCTCTAATTCAATTGTGTACCTTGTAAAGAAAGTGCGGCAAATCCTTCTCTGCTTCTTCTTATTTTACATTTTGAATCCAGTCAAACTAAAAAAAGGAGTATTCAACAAGTCCTGTCACGGTCGCCACTTATGTTCGGGTTAGGGGTCTAATTTATAACTAACCGTTATAACTGATCCCTAGGTTCGAGCTAGAATAACTTGAGTATTCTATTTTTGAAATAAACTTGGTTTTATTTCACTAAAACTTTGATGAAAAATTACATATATATATATATATATATATATATATATATATATATATATATATATATATATATATATATATATATATATATATATATATAAAGGGTGTCCCGTAAGCATAGGTAAATATTTAAAAGGTTGATAGTAGATACATCAAAATCTACAAAAAAGTTCATGTAAACAATTGCCCAATTCCCAGCAGAAAAGTAGGAAATTCAAGATTTTTGTTTTTTTAAATGTTACATTTTTTGTTGAATAGGAAGGGATAACATAAAAAATATTTGATTTAAGTAACTAAACATTGTTTCATAGTAAACTAGAGAAAATTTACTTTAAACGAATGTAGAGTTTGTCATTGTTAAAATTAAAACTATTTAAAGAGGAATAATAAAGTCATAAATTATTAGTGATTTTTTTTTTAATCACTTTATAACTGTACTACATTTACTCCACTTTTAGAAAAACTTCCTCATTTAAATCCATATTAATTAAGTTGAGGTTTATTAGGAAACATTTTAAGATTCACTTCGAGTTGTGTAAGGAAACGATGTGTTTTCCTATCAATTCACCTAAAAGTGCCAGTGTTTTCTGCAAAAATAACTACATACTTTTATGTGAGTGTATAGAAAATCGCATTATTTCTTTAAATAACTTGAGTTGAATCCTTGCCTTTTAGGTTATTAGGGAGGGGATTTAAAATCCCCTCCGGCACTGGGAAGCGAACTCGTACTTTTTTTTCTAATCTCATAACTTTGGTTATCTAGTTTTCCGACAACTAGCGGAGCTGCGCGTTAGCCCATTCGGCCACCCTGCCCCATTTGGTCTAGTATACTATGGAGCAATGTTTAAACCAAATTATTTTTAAGTTATCACCTCCTATTCAACAAAAAATGTGACTCACTTAAATCCACAAATCTTAAATTTTCTACTTTTCTGTTGAAATTGGACAATTGTTTATATGAACTTTTGTGTAGATCTTGAAGTCTACTATCAATCTTTTAATAATTTATTTATATATATATATATATATATATATATATATATATATATATATTATATATATATATATATATATATATATATATATATATATATATATATATATATATATATATATATATAATGATATTATATTGGGTTGGCAATAAGTCCTTTCGGTTTTTCAGGCTGAAATAAAACTCAATATATTATGGACATATTATTTATCTTATAATAAATAAATTAATTTACGATATATTGACCATAATTTAATATGACTTTTCCCCATCTTTTCACTAACTGCATAATGCCATGTTCATAGAATGTCTGGAGTTTATTGTTAAAAAATCTAGAGCGCACAACACACAAATTTCACTTACCACTCTACTTTGAATAGAAATTATTTTCTGGCAATGTTGGGCTATAATAAAACTCTAGAAGTGTATTTTAAATGGAGCTTAAGTTTAAATCATACAGATATAAAATCATTCAAACCATTAAAATTACAAAAAGCCTATTTATTATATTGACGGTAGGCAATAAAAATCTAGTTACTCCATCTGTTTTTATAAACCACACAACTTCGATCTTTTAGCCTTTCAGTTGACAGAATGACTAACTCCAATTTCAACATTTTTAAGCAATGTCATTTTAGTGATATTTCTAGTTGGAAAAGTTATATCTATACAGACGGGGAGTAAGTTGATTCCAGAGTAAGTGATTGCAATGTTGAAATATAGAACTGGGCATAAAAGTATAAATTTTGCCAATAAAATCATCACTAAAATTAATAATAAAGAATGTTGAAATTGGAATTATTCTGTCAACTGAAAAGCTCATATATGCCTAGAGAGATTTGAAAGTATAATTGAATATTTAACCTATAAATCATTATGGATTGTAGAACTATTAGTTATTAAACTGTTATTTTTCATTGTAAAGTTTACTAAAATGAAATTTCAAGATTTCCATTGCCTGCTTCAGATAGGTCAAAAGTTGTCAAGCTAATTACAAGTGGATAATGTTGGATTTTCACAAATGGAAAGAAAATTTTTCAAATTATTCACTAATTTAATTTTCTAAAAGGTTACTTGATGATTTTTTGGAATAAATGGCCAATAAATATCAAATTATTTAAATATAATGTCATATTTAGAGTTATAAAACTACAGTAAATGTATTTAAGGTTATAAACATATTCATGAAATATTTTTATATTTCACTTCTTCTTTCACACAAGTACAATGAAATAATATTTGGCTTGATTTGGTGAATTTTAAATACTTTTTTTCTAACTTAGAAAGAAATTTATAAGTTTACATTTACTAAGAAAATTTTATTTAATTCCTTTGGAAACAAGTGATTTACATTAAATAATGTTAGTTTTTTGAAATTATTATTTATATTTTTTTCGCCACTCTCGATTACCTTCTAGAACTTTATTCGTTTGATATTATTTTTTATGAAATTCTCCGCTTTCCAATAGGATTTCCAAATCAATTTCAACCTTTTCCAAGTCAAATTCAACCTTTACCAAATCAAATTAAACTTTTTCCAAGTCAAATTCAAACTTTTCCATTTCAAATTAAGATGTATGAGTCAGTTATAGCATGATTAATTTTTGAAAATAACCTCCATTTTAAAATTATACCACTGCATTTTGATTTATTTTAGTTTTTAGGATTTTTTCCATATAAGGGTGTGTTCTCTTGTTTCCAGAGCCATATATTTAGAAAATGACGTCCATTTTATAATTACTCTGCTACGTTTCGACTTATTTAAGTTTTTCGGATTTATTCGATGTAAAGATGTACTCTTGTTTCCGGACCTATACTTTTCGAAAATAATCTCCATTTTAAGATTATGCCACTGCGTTTCGACTTATTCAGTAGATTTTGAAAATGACCTCCATTTTAAGATTATGCCACTACGTTTCGACTTATTTAAGTTCTTCAGATTTTTTCCATATATGTGTCTACTTATATGAATTTCGAACAATTAGCTGAAAAATCTGGAAAATTACCAGTTGCTTTTTACTTTGTGTTTTGTGGTTAATTTAACATTAGCTTCATAATATTTATTTATTCATACTCAAAAACATATTAATGAAACTTTGTATTAAAAAAGTCCAAAAATAAACTGAATTGATCGAGATGCGTAATATTGAAATAGAGATTAAATATTAGTGATTAGATAAATTTCAAATACTACATCTCTGATAACATATAAGTAGATCCTTATACCAAATAAGTCCAAAAAACTTAAATAAACCAAGAAACAGTGACATTATCTTAAAATGGAGGTCATTTTCATAAACTGTGTCTCGGATAACATATAAGTAGAACCTTACATTTAACTTCCAAAAACTATGATTTCCATTGCTACCAATTGAAACAGGACAAGGCGTATCGAGTAGTCCTGAGAGGTCTACATCCAACCACTCCCATATCTGTCATCAAAACAGGCCTGGAAGAAATCGGTCATAACGTCAGGCACATAGCACCCGTACTACATCCTAGGGAAAGATATCCGCTTCCATTATTCTTTATAGATTTGGAACCAGCAAAAACGAATAATGAAATATTTCAGGTTCAACGTTTAGTATACTCGACAGTACGATTTGAAGAACCAAGGCAGAAGCCCTTAATAGTACAATGCTTTAAGTATCAAAACTTAGGGCATACGAAGACATATTGCCATCACGAGGCCAGATGTGATAAATGCGCCGGTTTTCAAGCTTCAGGCACTTGCCAGAGGCCAAAAGATGAGCCCGCTACATGTGCTCTTTGCGGTGAAGCCCACCCTGCAAGCTATAGAGGTTGTGAGGTATATAAAAATCTTCACAAACAGAGATCACGCAACTTAGCAACGAAAACCCTTGGACCTGCTCAAAAAACTTGTCCTAAGCCACCTGAAATTGAAAATCAGGAAACTTTCCCAGCTTTGCCGACTTCACCTTCCATCGCCGTCCAACAACAACCATCTATCTCTACACTTAAGGATTATCCTCAACAGAACTCAAGAAATTCTCAATGGCAGCCTTCCATCATTAAGAAGCAGCCTCAAAGCCAGGCGCCTCAAACCTCCCAATCCAAGCCCAAAAGCTCTAATACTCAACCTCAACAGCCTCGTCAGCCAATCCCTCCCCATCAGCTACCCTTAAGGGTCAAACTCCCGCCAGAGCACCCACACCCAGCTCCACTCGTTCCTACTCCCAAGATGAACCTTCCATCACAAGTCCAACAGAATTTAGATCCTACTCCTCGTACCCCACGTCGGACCCACCCTTCACCCAACAATCCTATTCGCATAGATTACTCATCACAACCTCAGGACCTAAATCCACTTCCCAGCCAAACATCATCCGACATCAACTCTATCCGATAGATCTTGAACAGACTATCAAACCGCTTATAACTCTTCTCACAAGACTCCATTCCGAAATCCCATTTAACTTCCGATAAATACAAAGCCCCTAGCTATCCTCTTATGGAACGCTAACGGACTACAAAACCACCGAGACGAACTAGACATATTTCTCCATGACAATTATATTGACATTGCTCTCCTGACAGAAACTCACTTCACTCAACGGACACAATTCTACATACGTGACTACATCACTTATAGATCTGACCATCCAGACAACACTTCTCACGCTGGCTCTTGCATCCTTATACATAAATCTCTATCGCATTCTCTTATCCCTTCTACTCCAACTGATGCCATTCAATCAACTTCTGTAATCCTTTCAACTCGTCCTTTCCATCTAACACTTTCAGCTGTATACTGTCCTCCTGGTAATTCCCTCTCTTATAGCCTACTTGATTCCTTATTTCAATCCCTCGGAGCGCGCTTTATTGCTGGAGGAGACTACAATGCTAAACACCAACGATGGTGTTGTCGAACATCCAACTCCCGCAGTAGCATCCTATCACGTGTCTCTTCTTCCAACAGTTATTCAATCCTCTCACCCATGAATCCTACATATTGGCCTACATCTCTGAAAAAACGTCCCGATATCCTGGATATATTTATCACCTCCCAGATTTCCTCCTCCCAATCCATTATCAAATTCCTGGATGACCTTTCGTCAGATCATAGTCCAGTTTTGCTTTTACTTCATTCGAACTTTGCTCCTAATCTTACACCTCCTAAACTGATTACAGGACGAGTGGACTGGGACAAATTTCGTCATGATCTGGAAGATAAACTGGACTTAAAAATTCCCCTTAAGACAATACAACATATTGATAATGCCATAGAAAACCTTACTACAACTATAACAACGAGTATAAATAATAACACATTTGTTAATAATAAAAGCAATAATTTAAGACACATTAACTTGCCACAGCATATTCGAATCTTATTAAGGGATAAACGCAGAGCATGATCGAAGTGGCTCAGGACTAGATATCCTTCAGACAAAACGTACTATACCGAATTGACTACCAAACTAAAATCAGAAATCAGAAAATATAAAACTCAACAATTACTGAACCTAACTGAAAATATTACAACAACTGACAAATCACTATGGACTAAAACTTCTGAAGTTTAAAGACTTTAATCACCCACTTCTTACTGAATCCCAAACCTGGTCCAAATCCGACGAAGAAAAAGCCCAGTTATTCGGTCAACATCTGTTCCAAATTTTCAACCCACATCCTGATATCCTTAATCCAACCCACATCAAATGTATTGAATCAGAACTGGATACTCCTCTCCAAATGTCCCTTCCACCTAAAGCATTTCATCCCACAGAAATATCCAACATCATTCAAAGATTACCCTCCTGCACATGACCTAATAACATCCCAGATCTTGAAACTTCTTCCTCGAAAAGCCATCCTATTCCTTACTTTCATATATAATGCTGTACTCCGATCCACATATTTCCCTGATCCTAGGAAAATATCTATTGTCAAAATGATCCACAAACCCAAAAAGCCACCAGAATATCCATCCTCTTACCGTCCCATCTCTCTGTTACCCATCATGGGAAAAATCCTGGAAAAACTAATCTTAAAATGCCTGTACGCAATCCTAGATTCTAATCACATAATCCCAGATCACCAATTTGGATTCCGCTCCTCCCATTCCACTATACAGCAATGCCATCGTGTGGTAGACGTAGTATCCTCTGCATTGGAGCGCGGTATGTACTGTACAGGACATCACAACAATGTCTATACATCCCGTTTTTCCCAGTCTGCAGGTGTTCCTCAAGGTAGTATCCTAGGTCCTATCTTTTACACAGTTTATACAGCTGACATCCCAACCCATCCCAACACTGTCATCACCACATATGCTGATGACACATGTATCCTATCAGTTAATAACGACCCATCTATTGCATCCCAAACCCTTCAATCCCACATTACAAACCTTGAAGAATGGTGTCAGAACTGGAGAATTAAAATAAATTCCAATAAATCCCATCAAATTACCTTCACCCTTCGTCGTAAATCAATGACTTCCTGTCCTTCAGTATCCTTTAACAACACCTCACTTATTCCTGTAGAGCAAATTCGTTACCTAGGACTCCATCTGGACGAACGTCTAACTTGGAATCCTCATACCAGACTGAAACGACAAGAAACAGCTCGACGTTTCCGACTACTTCAACACTTACTAGACAAACACTCTAACCTTCCAATCAATTATAAAAGACTGATTTACATGACTATAATAAGGCCTATTTGGACTTACGGAGTTGAGCTATGGGGCTCCACCAAACCTTCAAATTCCTCTCGCATACAATCCTTACAATCCAAAATCCTTCATAAAATCCTCAATGCTCCTTACTTTTTCACAAATAAAATTATCCATAATGACCTTAATGTTCCTTATGTATCAGATTTGGCCCAATCCAGATATCTGTCCTTCCATAATAAACTTCATAACCATCCCAACCCTCTTGTCTCTAACCTTGCTTCTTATTCGATTCCTGATAACCCTCCGAGGCGTCTGAAAAGAAGATGGCCACTTGATCTTCTAATATAGACATATTATTAGAGTGCCACCAATGGGTAGTTTCTCAACATGTGTTCCATGTCTTTATACCAATGTGCGAATTTACCAGATGTATTTTTTGTATACAGTTGTAAATATCATATAAATAAATAATAAAAAATAATAAAAGCCATTTGTTATAGTTGCTGTCAATAAAAGAAAGTTAATTTTTTTAAATAAACCATATTAAAGGTACTTTAGAGGAAGACGTATATGAACATTAGGCATTTAAGCCCTGTAAAGTGACATCAATGGGAAGACTTAATGATATTAAAGACCAATTAATTATACAATGATACACCGAGTTTAATCAAAATCGTCGGAGCCGTTTTTGAGAAAATTGTAAAAATGTGTTTCACTGTTGATATAAATTTTCACTTCCGGTTAGGCGATTTTAAGGAAAAAGTTTATGTCACATCTAAGGGCATATACCTATCTTAAACATGCAATGTCAGTTTCTTAAGACTTTTTGTTTTTGAGTTAGACTGTTAACATACACACAGGCCAATTTGTGGGACTAGGTTATTTCAACTCAGGGGACCTCAAAACGTGTATTTCCGTTTAAATCCGAGATTCAAAAATTTTCACAATCACAATACTTTCCCTTACTATATATTACATATAAAGGTAAGTGAAAGTAAAAACTGATCCAAGTGGTTTTTGATGCCCTCTTCCTTTTGGAATTTCTTTCCATTCATGGAGTTCTGCAGAGACTGGAATAAGTGGTAGTCACTTGGAACAAGGTCTAGTGAATAGGGAGGGTGGGGCAAACGGTCCCACTTAAGGCTCAATAATTTATTATGAGTGACCAATGAGGTGTGGGGCTTAACATTGTCTTGGTGGAACACAACACCCTTCCGATCATTCATGTTAAAATCTGCTGAATGAAATTTAGCAAACCAATTTTGACAGGGGCGTTCAGTTAAGGCATCACCCCCATAAACACTGCAAATATTTCAATGAGTTTCTGCAGCACGCTTATCTTTTTTAAAATAATTCAAAAATATATGCCGATAATGAATCATATTTTCTTCCATATTAGCAATCAAATAGCAAAAACAATACTAAGCTAGTTTCAACAAGAGTTAACAGATATAGTTATTGACATATTACAACAGGATAAACAATCCACCTTAGGGATTAATTCATCAGATAAGAAGTGTATCATAGTGACATAAAAAAAACATAAAAACCGAAAGGACTTCTTTGCCAACCCAATATAAGAAAATCTTGTAGTATATTGGATATATAAATCTACATGCACTACGATACAACTTAATCAACATATGTTATATGTACACTACTTCAATTAATAAGTTTTAAATTAATTATATACAAACTTTTGATGTGATATTTTTGAAATTTTTACTTCCATCTTCACCGATTCCGATCATCTGTTCCAAAATAATTTCTGTGCCATCATCAGCTGAAATTACCCCATGTATTGTTCTTTTATGGGTAGTGAGTGTCGATGATTGTCTATAAGTCTTATGACAAAATGGACACGAATGTCTCTTCAACTGAGAATGTACTAACTGATGTTTATAAAGAGATGAATACTCCGTAAAGCGCTTTAAACAATTCTAAAAAGAAGTAACAAAAAAAAATTAAAGAAACTTTTTTTTTTATATCTCATCTGCTTAGTAATTATTTTTATTACAAAAAAACATGAAGATGTCAAGTATTCAAAAATTTATAAATAGTCACTCTATCTTATTGATTATAAAGCCACTATATTAGAATGCAAATTAAATTAAAAACTGAGACTACAGAATCATACATGAACCAGAAGTCTAAGGAAAAATAAATTAATTAGTGGTACAGCATATCATTTATGAATTAAGTGTACTCTATCAATAAATGAAAATGGCTTACAGGTACACCGCAAACGTAAGGCTTTTCTCCTGAATGTATTCTCATATGGTTTTTAAAATTAGTTGACGAAGCAAAACTTCTATTACATCCCTCTTGAGTGCAAACATATGGTTTTTCACCTGAAATACGAAACTGATAAGTTAATCTATACATATAAAAATGAAGGTGTGTCCTTTATGCATTTCTAAACCATTCATCCGATCGCCATGAAACTTTGGGAAGTTGTTTCATACACTCCTGCAAAGGTTTCTGGTATAGTACTTCTGTCTTACGATAATTTTATATAGAATAGAATAGAATAGAAGAATCAACTTTATTCTGGGACAAAGTCCCTTAAGAATAACAATATTGTACCTAAAAGTGAACACAAAATGCATATTACAATAAAAAATAAATAAAAAATAAGTAATAACAGAAGTATTTACATAACTATACAAATATATTAAAGAAATAATATGAGCAATATGGTCACAATACTGCAAAATAGTTGCTACAAACAATAAACTATGGAATACTAAATGAAATTTGAAATGAACAATAAATAACTTTTGTTGTCATACCATTGAATTAATGAAAAAAATAATAATAAAAGAGCAGATAAATATTTACTATAAATTATTTACATCTGTACCTTAATGTGTTCAAATGAATACAATAAAAGTATTGTAAACATTATACAATTCTTATATAATCTATATCTTAAGAAGTAGATTGATCAGAGAAAATAAAAGATGATATATATATAAAGGAGTGCATTCAATATTAGTAATCAATTAAATACTGCTCAAAGACTTAGAATCTTATACATTGAAAAACTGACAAAAAACGATTCTCAGTGAAAGTGACTGGACATCTTTTCCATACTAAAAAAAAAAAAAATACATTATATATATATATATATATATATATATATATATATACAAATGATACATAAAGAAAAATGCAATTTTGTTACATGATAAATGACTACCCAGCGTCTGATTGAATTGTAAGGAGGAATTGGAATAAGAAGGTTTTAAATATGGATAGGGATGTTGCATGGCGGATTTTAACTGGGATTGAATTCCAAAAGGTGTTGGAGCGGACAATAAAGGAGTATTGAAATGAGACAGTTTTGTGGAAAGGGGTAAAAGGTCAGAAGAACGAGATATTGTGGAGAGGGAGTGGGCAGATGACTTGAATTGAAGGAGATTGAATGCGTAGGATGGACGATAATTATAAATTATTTGGTAAAGGAATGTACCTAGGAAATATTGCCTTATGAAGGAGGGAAAGAGCCACCCTAACTTGGAGTAGTAGTGGGAAACATGGAACGTCTCGGGGTTCCATTGACAAATCTTACTAAGCCATTATGTAAACATAAATGTAAAAAAAATAAAAATGTAAATGTTTTTTTGTTCGAAACCGCAAAAAAAATGTGTCGCTATAAGCTGTAGCGCCAAAACGGTTTTAACGATTTTAACCAAACTTGGCCAAAGTCTTCCCCTTGAAACCCTTTTAATTTATGTGTATAACATACTTCTCCGAAAACAAGCTGAAAAAATGTTACGATGAATTCAATATTTTATTTGCTGATAACTAAAAAAGTACACAATTTTTGATTGATAATAATAATAATAATAATAACTGGCGGTGAAGTTCAACTTGTTAGATGACAAAACTCCATATTATAAGTACCACCCAAATAAACTCCTCCAAAAAGGTAGTCTCAAGCTATACTGGGATGAATCGATTATAACTGACCATACTGTGCGTCACAATAAACCAGACATCCTTCTGATAGACATGAGAGAGAAAAGAGCAGAGCTTATTGATGTCGGGATCCCCAATGATAATAATATAAGCTCCACTGTTGGAGAAAAACTGAGAAAATACCAGGAATTGGCAATCGAACTGAAGGAATTGTATCATTTGGGGAACGTCACCACCACTCCAATTATAATATCCTCCAATGGATTGATACCAAAGACAACAGTGGCAGGCACGATGGGATTAAAATTACCTCTTGAAGTGCTGAAAAGAGGCTCAACACTCAGTTCTCTTGGATACGGCACGTATTGTTCGAAAGTTTTTAAATATCTAAAAAGTAATAGATATTAATCTGAAGTGGCTGGACTTCTGGTCTCCCACCTCAGAAACTTACCCCGCAAAGCGAGAATAAAGAATGGAAATAATAATAATAATAATAATAATAATAACGCTTTATTTATTCTGGGATGAGTCCCTTTAGAATAATACAGAGAAACAAAAATGAGGGCTAAGGAGCCTCAGAGATACATAAACAAGAGTATAATTTGATTAAATAGTAAAAAAAATAATAAAATATTTAGAGAAATTATAAGTTACTTTCTAATTTACATCAGTTAATAATAAAAATAAAAAATTGAAAATAAACATGAAGTAAAAATAATAAAGAACGATCTAATAATTTATATACATATTTACAGTAGTAACTATTTACAATTTTATGATGAGGACTGGATGGATAAGAAATGATTAAACAGTTGGGATTTAAAGGTAGGAAGGGTTTTGGATTGACGGATGTAGGGAGGGATGGAGTTCCATAGGGAAGAGGATCGAATAATAAATGATTTATCGAAAGCAGCGGTTCGGTGGGCCATTATATATAGATCTGAGGACCGAGAACGGGTATTGCGGGAGTGGACAGAGGATTTAAATTGAAGGAGCTCGGCGATGTATGAAGGACGGCGGGAGTGAATTACTTGGAAGAGGAAGGATGCCAGGAAATACTTACGGCGGTTGGAAGGATAAAGCCACTTCAACTCTTCATAGAAACAGGAAACAGGAGCGTCTCTTGGGATCCCGAAGATGAATTGTACAAAGCAATTTATCAAACGTTTTATTTTCGCCTCGAGATCCACAGAGACGCCCCCATATACCATGGGGGAGAGACGTACCATATACCCCCATATAATACCTATATTCATTTGAAAGATTCTTGATTTGACGACAAAATAAAAAAAATGTTATCGAAATAGATAAGCATTATCTCCAAAATAAAACAATTTCTATCAGCCGTAGGAGTAAAGTGGGTCAAATTATTTTTTTAAGGAGAAACAAAGTTGAGATTTGTATTTCGCACCTGAATAAACCCTCAAATACCAATTATCACTGGAATCGAAAAATAATTTTTTTTTGTCTCAAATTTTCGTCAAGAGTGTGATCTTCAATTTTATTTCGGAAACCACAAAAAGTGTGATAACTTAATAATGGTTGCACCTATAAACACGAAAATAAGATCGGATTTTTTTCTCATGATTCAAATTGAACATTCATAATCATCTGAGTGAATACGCCATCATTCATAATCATCAGAAACAGCCTGAGTTGAACTTATAAAACTAAAATAAAAAATTAATATAAAGAACGTATAATAGTATTGACCTACATAAGGAGAATCATATAACTTCTTCAAATGATAATTTCAATTACTGTAAAATTATAAAATTTTTGATTAATCAATGAAAAATAAAAAATTAAAAAAATGCTTGCCTACCTTCGGTAGTGAGGAAGCAAAAGGAAATGGACTTTTCTGAAGAGAAAGCAGTAAATGTTTAAAACTCTATAACTCTGTAACAAATCGTCCGATTTCGATGATTTTTTTTTTATTTTGTCAGCAATTCAGAAATCTTTCATATAAATATTGGTATTATCGAACGGATGAGAAAAAACACATCAGAGGAGAGTATAACATAGACCCGATGTTGCTCCGTCATAGGCTCAAGTCTAACTCGATTTCTAAAAGAAACATAAACGGCGATAAGTATTACTCAAGAGTTAAATCTTTTTAAATAATAGCAAATCAAATATTTGAAATGTATCATACTATTTCCAGAATACATTGGGAGGACCTTCTGGCCTGGAAGGTTTCTGGCATATTACTTCTGTCTTACGATAATTTTATATATGTAAAAAAAAATAAAAATGTTAATGTTTTTCTGTTCAAAGCCGCAAAAAAATGTGTCGCTATAAACTGTAGCGCCAAAACCGCTTTAGTGATTTTAACGAAACTTGCCTAAAGTCTTCCCTTGAAATTTTTTTAATTTATGTGTATAACATACTTCCCCGAAAACAAGTTGAAAAAATGTTACGATGAATTCAATATTTTATTTGCCGATAGCTAAAAAGGTATACAATTTTGATTGATTATACCCATATTCATTTGAAAGATTCCTGAATTCCCTACAAAAATAAAAAAAAGGATTGGACGATTTGTTGCAGAGTTATAGAGTTTATTTTAGTATTTTAAACATTTACTGCTTTCTCTTCAGAAAAGGCCATTTCCTTTCCTTTTTTAACTTTAACTTCTTGACATTTTTTTTTTTTTAATCCGTATTTATATATATGTATGTATATTGAAATATTATTAATCTACCTATTAAATTTTGACTAATGACATTATTTAAACCATGCATATATTTTTAAGCAGTATTAATCTATTTAATTAATTTTAACACATTGACATTATTTCATTTGTATATATATTTTTAATCTATTTATTTTATTTTTATTTTAACTAAACTATTTTATCAATGTATATATTTTTTAAAATTCTTTTATTTAATTTTACTTACTGACATTTAATTTGTGCATAAATTTTAATCAATTTATTTAATTTTAACTTCTTGAAACTTTGTTTAAATCCATATATATATATATGTATAAATATTTTAATCTTCCTATTTAATTATAACTAATCTACATTATTTAGACCATACATATATTTTTAAACAATTTTAACTTATTGACATTGTTTTATTTTTATACATATTTTCAATCTATTTATTTTATTTTAATTAACTACAATTATTTTATCTATGTATGTAGTTTTATTTTTTTTTTTTTTAAATCTTCTAATTTAATTTTACTTACTGACATTTAAATTATGTATATATTTTTAATCTATTTATTTGATATTAACCAATTAACAATATATTATCTGTGCATATATTTTTTTAAAATGAATTTATTGATCTATTTTTAACATATAAGAATATTTTAACCTATTTATGTATTGTGATGTGGATGATAACTTTATTGTAAAGATAAAAAATAAAAAAGATATGGAGGCAAATCTAGATAATTCCAAGAGGGTCGA